TGCTGGAGACCCCTGCCAGTGTGTTGCTGGAAACTCCTGCCAGTGTGTTGCTGGAGACCCCTGCCAGTGTGTTGCTGGAGACCCCTGTCAGTGTGTTGCTGGAGACCCCAACCAGTGTGTTGCTGGAGACCCCTGCCAGTGTGTTGCTGGAGACCCCTGCCAGTGTGTTGCTGGAGACCCCTGCCAGTGTATTGCTGGATACCCCTGCCAGTGTGTTGCTGGAGACCCCTGCCAGTGTGTTGCTGGAGACCCCTGCCAGTGTGTTGCTGGAGACCCCTGCCAGTGTATTGCTGGAGACCCCTGCCAGTGTGTTGCTGGAGACCCCTGCCAGTGTGTTGCTGGAGACCCCTGTCAGTGTGTTGCTGGAGACCCCAACCAGTGTGTTGCTGGAGACCCCTGCCAGTGTGTTGCTGGAGACCCCTGCCAGTGTGTTGCTGGAGACCCCTGCCAGTGTATTGCTGGATACCCCTGCCAGTGTGTTGCTGGAGACCCCTGCCAGTGTGTTGCTGGAGACCCCTGCCAGTGTATTGCTGGAGACCCCTGCCAGTGTGTTGCTGGAGACCCCTACCAGTGTGTTGCTGGAGACCCCTGCCAGTGTGTTGCTGGAGACCCCTGCCAGTGTGTTGCTGGAGACCCCTGCCAGTGTATTGCTGGAGACCCCTGCCAGTGTGTTGCTGGAGACCCCTGCCAGTGTGTTGCTGGAGGCCCCTGCCAGTGTGTTGCTGGAGACCCCTGCCAGTGTATTGCTGGAGACCCCTGCCAGTGTGTTGCTGGAGACCTCTGCCAGTGTGTTGCTGGAGACCCCTGCCAGTGTATTGCTGGAGACCCCTGCCAGTGTGTTGCTGGAGACCCCTGCCAGTGTGTTGCTGGAGGCCCCTGCCAGTGTGTTGCTGGAGACCCCTGCCAGTGTATTGCTGGAGACCTCTGCCAGTGTGTTGCTGGAGGCCCCTGCCAGTGTGTTGCTGGAGACCCCTGCCAGTGTATTGCTGGAGACCTCTGCCAGTGTGTTGCTGGAGACCCCTGCCAGTGTATTGCTGGAGACACCTGCCAGTGTGTTGCTGGAGGCCCCTGCCAGTGTGTTGCTGGAGACCCCTGCTAGTGTATTGCTGGAGACCCCTGCCAGTGTGTTGCTGGAGGCCCCTGCCAGTGTGTTGCTGGAGACCCCCCTAGTGTATTGCTGGAGACCCCTGCCAGTGTATTGCTGGAGACACCTGCCAGTGTATTGCTGGAGACCCCTGCCAGTGTGTTGCTGGAGACCCCTGCCATTGTGTTGCTGGAGACCCCTGCCAATGTGTTGCTGGAGACCCCTCCCAGTGTGATGCTGGAGACCCCTGCCAGTGTGTGTTGCTGGAGAGCCCTGCCAATGTGTTGCTGGAGACCCCTGCCTGTGTGTTGCTGGAAATCCCCTGCCAGTGTGTTGCTGGAACCCCCTGCCAGTGTGTTGCTGGAGATCCCTGCCACTTTGTTGCTGGAGACCCCTGCCAGCGTGTTGCTGGAGACCCCTGCCACTGTGTTGCTGGAGACCCCTGCCACTGTGTTGCTGGAGACCCCTGCCCATGTGTGGCTGGAAACCCCTGAAAGTGTGATGCTGGAGACCCCTGCCAGTGTGTTGCTGGAGACGCCTGCCAGTGTGTTGCTGGAGACCCCTGCCAGTGTGTTGCTGGAGACCACTGAAAGTGTGTTGCTGGAGACCCCTGCCAGTGTGTTGCTGGAGACCCAAGCCAGTGTGTTGCTGGAGACCCCTGCCAGTGTGTTGCTGGAGACCCCTGCCAGTGTGTTGCTGGAGACCCCTGCCAGTGTGTTGCTGGAGACCCCTGCCACTGTGTTGCTGGAGACCCCTGCCAGTGTGTTGCTGGAGACCCCTGCCAGTGTGTTGCTGGAGACCCCTGCCAGTGTGTTGCTGGAGACCCCTGCCAGTGTGTTGCTGGAGACCCCTGCCAGTGTGTTGCTGGAGACCCCTGCCAGTGTGTTGCTGGAGACCCCTGCCAGTGTGTTGCTGGAGAGTAGAAGTGGTGTTGTGGCACCGTGACGATACTGTATAGGACTGGCAAATAATTCACTGAGAAAGGTGAACTCGCCGACGTGAGGACCATAGAAGACAGCCTCGGGGAGGGAACCTTTAATGGTGTACGAGGAAGATATAAGTGGACTCACCGGGACACAAGATTGCAGAAGTTTTATAATGTCTTGTGTGAATGTGACACCAGCTGTGTTATGTGCTGTACATATGTGTGTGAATGTGACACCAGCTGTGTTAGGTGCTGTACATATGTGTGTCAATGTGACACCAGCTGTGTTATGTGCTGTACATATGTGTGTGAATGTGACACCAGCTGTGTTATGTGCTGTACATATGTGTGTGAATGTGACACCAGCTGTGTTATGTGCTGTACATATGTGTGTCAATGTGACACCAGCTGTGTTAGGTGCTGTACATATGTGTATATATATTTTAGAAGTACACTTGGTGATGGTTCTGTTTTGTGATTGTTTACCCCTTTCCCGTGAGAGTGACGATTACACCAGTTGTTAATAACTTACCTATGACCTGTGGTCCTGTGGTCCTGGGTTCGATCCCGGGCGCCGGCGAGAAACAATGGGCAGAGTTTCTTTCACCCTATGCCCCTGTTACCTAGCAGTAAAATAGGTACCTGGGTGTTAGTCAGTTGTCACGGGCTGCTTCCTGGGGGTGAAGGCCTGGTCGAGGACCGGGCCGCGGCGACACTAAAAAAAAGCCCCGAAATCATCTCAAGATAACCTCAAGATGACTCGGGGTGGATCAAGTGAGAAGAGGCACTAAGGCCCCCATAGAAAGTTTGATAAGAAAAGATCCCTCTTACTGGCTAAGTGAAGCCGTAAAAGCTGGTATTAACACAGTGCCACAAGGGCTGGTATTACCACAGTGCCACAAGGGCTGGTATTACCACAGTGCACAGGGCCTCAAGGGCTGGTATTAACACAGCACAGTGCCACAAGGGCTGGTATTACCACAGTGGGCCACAAGGGCTGGTATTACCACAGTGCCACAAGGGCTGGTATTAACACAGCACAGGGCCTGCCACAAGGGCTGGTATTACCACACACAAGGGCTGGTATTACCACAGTGCCACAAGGGCTGGTATTAACACAGCACAGGGCCACAAGGGCTGGTATTAACACAGCACAGTGCCACAAGGGCTGGTATTAACACAGCACAGGGCCTCAAGGGCTGGTATTAACACAGCACAGTGCCACAAGGGCTGGTATTAACACAGTGCACAAGGCTGGTATTACCACAGTGCCACAAGGGCTGGTATTACCACAGTGCCACAAGGGCTGGTATTACCACAGTGCACAAGGGCCTCACAGTGTCACAAGTATTGGTATTACCACAGTGCCACAAGGGCTGGTATTAACACAGCACAGGGCCTCAAGGGCTGGTATTAACACAGCACAGTGCCACAAGGGCTGGTATTACACAGCACAGTGCCACAAGGGCTGGTATTACAGCACAGTGCCACAAGGGCTGGTATTACAGCACAGTGCCACAAGGGCTGGTATTACACACAGTGCCACAAGGGCTGGTATTACAGCACAGTGCCTCAAGGGCTGGTATTAACACAGCACAGGGCCTCAAGGGCTGGTATTAACACAGCACAAGGGCCTCACAGTGTCACAAGGGCTGGTATTACCACAGTGCCACAAGGGCTGGTATTACCACACACAGCACAGTGCCACAAGGGCTGGTATTAACACAGCACAGTGCCACAAGGGCTGGTATTACAGCACAGTGCCACAAGGGCTGGTATTACCACAGTGCCACAAGGGCTGGTATTAACACACAGTGCCACAAGGGCTGGTATTAACACAGGGCTGGCACAGTGCCACAAGGGCTGGTATTAACACAGTGCACAAGGGCTGGTATTACCACAGTGCCACAAGGCTGGTATTAACACAGCACAGGGCCTCAAGGGCTGGTATTAACACAGCACTGGGCCTCAAGGGCTGGTATTAACACAGTGCACAAGGGCTGGTATTACCACAGTGTCACAATATTGGTATTAGCACAGTGCCACAAGGGCTGGTATTACCACAGTGTCACAAGGGCTGGTATTACCACAGGCTGGGCTGGTATTACCACAGTGCCACAAGGGCTGGTATTAACACAGCACAGTGCCACAAGGGCTGGTATTAACAGAGCACAGTGCCACAAGGGCTGGTATTAACAGAGCACAGTGCCACAAGGGCTGGTATTAACACAGTGGGCCTCAAGGGCTGGTATTACCACACTGCACAAGGGTGGTATTACCACAGTGTCACAAGGGCTGGTATTACCACAGTAACAAGGGCTGGCACAGTGTCACAAGGGCGGGTATTACCACAGTGTAACAAGGGCTGGTATTACCACAGTGCCACAAGGGCTGGTATTACCAAAGTGCCACAAGGGCTGGCACAGTGCCACAAGGGCTGGTATTAACACAGCACAGTGCCACAAGGGCTGGTATTAACACAGTGCACAAGGGCTGGTATTACCACAGTGTCACAAGGGCTGGTATTACCACAGTGCCACAAGGGCTGGTATTACCACAGTGCCACAAGGGCTGGTATTACCACAGTGTCACAAGGGCTGGTATTACCACAGTGTCACAAGGGCTGGTATTACCACAGTGCCACAAGGGCTGGTATTACCACAGTGCCACAAGGGCTGGTATTACCACAGTGCCACAAGGGCTGGTATTACCACAGTGCCACAAGGGCTGGTATTACCACAGTGCCACAAGGGCTGGTATTACCACAGTGCCACAAGGGCTGGTATTACCACAGTGCCACAAGGGCTGGTATTAACACAGTGCCACAAGGGCTGGTATTACCACAGTGCCACAAGGGCTGGTATTACCAGTGTCACAAGGGCTGGTATTACCGCAGTGCCAACCAATACTTAACAACACAGCTGCTTATATGTTCAGTTAGAAGCATTGATAGAGAGTTCTCAACGTTGCTTGGGACAAGAGTATCAACAATTAGCATTAAAGTGTTTATTATAAAAGGTAAACTAGTTACATATATAATAGAGAGGAGCAACAATATTATTTAAACAGTTTGAACAGGTCATAAATCACGTGTGCATGAGTGCTGGCACCTGTAACACATTGTGTGGCAGGCGTTTATAGAACCTTTGTTATTACCTAACTTTGAATATAGCCTTATTAATTGTGAAGATTATTATGCACTCTGATCTCTCCATAAAGCAGTTATTTATGGAGCCAATAGCAGAGGAACACATATCTTGTAGCTGGGGTAATTTGTGTATAGGTTTTAAGATAAACCTCAACCGATGTTGTTAATGCCAATAACTGATTCATTACAGCAGCAGAGTAATGATACTCGTGCCCCGGGACTGCGAGCTGTGATGGTTAGGCGTCCTCTGAGTTACGGCAGATGAGCTGGTTGTTGTCAGGGAGGTAACAGCACTTCTCAAACACCTGGCAGTCAGAGTCATCCTTGCAGTTGAGGTGATTAGGATAGTTGAATTGGGTCCTGTCACAGAGCACATTCCTCTCGTACGGCTGCAGGTGAACTTTAGGGCATGTGCCGGGGTTGAGACCTGAGGGAACACTCTTCACTTAGTAAAATGTTAAAAGAATAAAATGAATGACAAACACATCTTAACATGAAAGACAACTGTGTTGTAACACTAAACTATGTCTGCTGAAGATCAATGTATATGGTGGCACTGTAACAGCCAAATGTGTCAACTTGAAGCACCACCTCCATGCCTGGAATCACCACTGCAGCATGTGCTAGGCCTGGTGAGGCCCAACAAGAACGACGCCTCAGGTCACAGGTGAACCAGCGAATGGAAGGGTCCGTACCCGGGCTCTGTCACCCAGTTCACGCCCCAGCCTGGGGCATGAGCGGGGTAACCCCCAGTCACCACTGCCCCAACCCTGAGGTCTACCCACTTCTCCCTCCTCCGGGAAACCCACTCACTCATATCCCACTATCTCTATCTCCCCCCCCCCCCCATCTTCCTGTGAACCAGACGTCTCCACCGCCTCCCACCTGCCTCCCCCCCTCCATGCACACCAGCCACCCACTCTTCCCCACCAACCACCCGCCCTCTGACACCCAGGAGGACGCCACTCTGACACCCAGGGGGACGCCACTCTGACACCCAGGAGGACGCCACTCTGACACCCAGGAGGACGCCACTCTGACACCCAGGAGGACGCCACTCTGACACCCAGGAGGACGCCACTCTGACACCCAGGAGGACGCCACTCTGACACCCAGGAGGACGCCACTCTGACACCCAGGGGGACGCCACTCTGACACCCAGGGGGACGCCACACTGACACCCAGGAGGACGCCACTCTGACACCCAGGAGGACGCCACTCTGACACCCAGGAGGACGCCACCCTGACACCCAGGAGGACGCCACCCTGACACCCAGGAGGACGCCACTCTGACACCCAGGAGGACGCCACTCTGACACCCAGGAGGACGCCACTCTGACACCCAGGAGGACGCCACTCTGACACCCAGGAGGACGCCACCCTGACACCCAGGAGGACGCCACACTGACACCCAGGAGGACGCCACCCTGACACCCAGGAGGACGCCACCCTGACACCCAGGAGGACGCCACTCTGACACCCAGGAGGACGCCACTCTGACACCCAGGAGGACGCCACCCTGACACCCAGGAGGACGCCACCCTGACACCCAGGAGGACGCCACTCTGACACCCAAGAGGACGCCACCCTGACACCCAGGAGGACGCCACCCTGACGCCACCTGACACCCAGGGGGACACCCAGGAGGACGCCACACCCTGACGCCACCCAGGAGGACGCCACTCTGACACCCAGGAGGACGCCACTCTGACACCCAGGGGGACGCCACTCTGACACCCAGGAGGACGCCACTCTGACACCCAGGAGGACGCCACTGACACCCTGACACACCCAGGAGGACGCCACTCTGACACCCAGGAGGACGCCACTCTGACACCCAGGGGGACGCCACTCTGACACCCAGGGGGACGCCACTCTGACACCCAGGAGGACGCCACTCTGACACCCAGGAGGACGCCACCCTGACACCCAGGGGGACGCCACTCTGACACCCAGGGGGACGCCACTCTGACACCCAGGGGGACGCCACTCTGACACCCAGGAGGACGCCACTCTGACACCCAGGAGGACGCCACCCTGACACCCAGGAGGACGCCACTCTGACACCCAGGAGGACGCCACTCTGACACCCAGGAGGACGCCACTCTAACACCCAGGAGGACGCCACTCTGACACCCAGGAGGACGCCACTCTGACACCCAGGAAGACGCCACCCTGACACCCAGGAAGACGCCACCCTGACACCCAGGAGGACGCCACCCTGACACCCAGGAGGACGCCACTCTGACACCCAGGAGGACGCCACTCTGACACCCAGGAGGACGCCACTCTGACACCCAGGAGGACGCCACTCTGACACCCAGGAGGACGCCACTCTGACACCCAGGAGGACGCCACCCTGACACCCAGGACGACGCCACTCTGACACCCAGGAGGACGCCACCCTGACACCCAGGAGGACGCCACTCTGACACAACCACTCGTCCAACGAATAATACGCCAGCAATTGGAATTTAAGAACGCCCTCAGCCAGGTCATGATTTGTCAGGAACAAATTCTTGATCTGCTGCTGCTGTAGTGATCATCAGGTCCTGCAAGCCAGAGCCTGGCGCCAGGTGGTGCAACGTCTGCTGTCAAGGTGAATGCCAGCAGACACACTGATACCATGACATCAGTACATGCCAGCAGACACACTGATACCATGACATCAGTACATGCCAGCAGACACACTGATACCATGACAGCAGTACATGCCAGCAGACACACTGATACCATGACAGCAGTACATGCCAGCAGACACACTGATACCATGACAGCAGTACACGCCAGCAGACATACTGATACCATGACAGCAGTACACGCCAGAAGACACACTGATACCATGAGAGCAGTACATGCCAGCAGACACACTGATACCATGACAGCAGTACATGCCAGCAGACACACTGATACCATGACAGCAGTACATGCCAGCAGACACACTGATACCATGACAGCAGTACATGCCAGCAGACACACTGATACCATGACAGCAGTACACGCCAGCAGACACACTGATACCATGACAGCAGTACACGCCAGCAGACACACTGATACCATGACAGCAGTACACGCCAGCAGACACACTGATACCATGACAGCAGTACATGCCAGCAGACACACTGATACCATGACATCAGTACATGCCAGCAGACACACTGATACCATGACATCAGTACATGCCAGCAGACACACTGATACCATGACATCAGTACATGCCAGCAGACACAATGGTACCATGACAGCAGTACATGCCAGCAGACACACTGATACCATGACATCAGTACATGCCAGCAGACACAATGGTACCATGACAGCAGTACATGCCAGCAGACACACTGATACCATGACATCAGTACATGCCAGCAGACACACTGATACCATGACATCAGTACATGCCAGCAGACACAATGGTACAATGACAGCAGTACATGCCAGCAGACACACTGATACCATGACAGCAGTACATGCCAGCAGACACACTGATACCATGACATCAGTACATGCCAGCAGACACACTGATACCATGACATCAGTACATGCCAGCAACATGAGTGCACACAGTAACACCAGTGCACACAACAACACCAGTGCACACAGTGACACCAGTGCACACAACAACACCAGTGCACACAACAACACCAGTGCACACAGTAACACCAGTGCACACAGTAACACCAGTGCACACAGTAACACCAGTGCACACAGTAACACCAGTGCACACAGCAACACCAGTGCACACAGTAACACCAGTGCACACAGCAACACCAGTGCACACAGTAACACCAGTGCACACAGCAACACCAGTGCACACAGTAACACCAGTGCACACAGCAACACCAGTGCACACAGCAACACCAGTGCACACAGCAACACCAGTGCACACAGTGACACCAGTGCACACAACAACACCAGTGCACACAACAACACCAGTGCACACAGTAACACCAGTGCACACAGTAACACCAGTGCACACAGTAACACCAGTGCACACAGTAACACCAGTGCACACAGCAACACCAGTGCACACAGTAACACCAGTGCACACAGCAACACCAGTGCACACAGTAACACCAGTGCACACAGCAACACCAGTGCACACAGTAACACCAGTGCACACAGTGACACCAGTGCACACAGCAACACCAGTGTGCACACAGTAACACCAGTGCACACAGCACACCAGTGCACACAGTAACACCAGTGCACACAGCAACACCAGTGCAAACAGCACACCAGTGCACACAGACACCAGTGTAACACCACACACAACACCAGTGCACACAGCAACACCAGTGCACACAGCAACACAGCACACAGCAACACCAGTGCACACAGCAACACCAGTGCACACAGTGCACACAGCAACACCAGTGCACACAGTAACACCAGTGCACACAGCAACACCAGTGCACACAGCAACACCAGTGCACACAGTAACACCAGTGCACACAGCAACACCAGTGCACACAGCAACACCAGTGCAGTGCACACAGCAACACCAGTGCACACAGCAACACCAGTGCACACAGTAACACCAGTGCACACAGCAACACCAGTGCACACAGCAACACCAGTGCACACAGTAACACCACACACCAGTGCACACAGTGCACACAGCAACACCAGTGCACACACAGCAACACCAGTGCACACACAGCAACACCAGTGCACACAGCAACACCAGTGCACACAGCAACACCAGTGCACACAGCAACACCAGTGCAGTGCACACAGCAACACCAGTGCACACAGTACACCAGTGCACACAGTGACACCAGTGCACACAACAACACCAGTGCACACAACAACACCAGTGCACACAGTAACACCAGTGCACACAGCAACACCAGTGCACACAGCAACACCAGTGCAACACCAGTGCACACAGCAACACCAGTGCACACACAACACCAGTGCACACAGCAACACCAGTGCACACAGTCAACACCAGTGCACACAGCAACACCAGTGCACACAGCAACACCAGTGCACACAGCAACACCAGTGCACACAGTAACACCAGTGCAACACAGCAACACCAGTGCACACAGCAACACCAGTGCACACAGTAACACCAGTGCACACAGCAACACCAGTGCACACAGTAACACCAGTGCACACAGCAACACCAGTGCACACAGTAACACCAGTGCACACAGTAACACCAGTGCACACAGCAACACCAGTGCACACAGCAACACCAGTGCACACAGTAACACCAGTGCACACAGCAACACCAGTGCACACAGTAACACCAGTGCACACAGCAACACCAGTGCACACAGCAACACCAGTGCACACAGCAACACCAGTGCACACAGCAACACCAGTGCACACAGTAACACCAGTGCACACAGTAACACCAGTGCACACAGCAACACCAGTGCACACAGCAACACCAGTGCACACAGCAACACCAGTGCA